ACGAAATTAGAATTTGAGCTGACTTACTCTATCCTCTTAAGTGACGTCATTGTCGAATACATATTTACTACTACTAGTGGCCTATGAATGGATCTAGAATGTGGAATGATTAAGAGTTAAAAAAATTATCAATGATCATATATTTTATAAATTTTTCAATTTCACGAAAACACTTTCCAAGTTTTTTTTTCAGATAAAAAAATAGCTCAGATCACTCCTGGCATTACTGATTTATCGGTTTGTGAAGTTTCATCACAATCAATGCAGGCATTCCAAGAATAATCTCAAACAAATAAACACATTTTTACAAATGATTATTCATGTTGTATGGGTATGCAATTAGCCACTGAGCTTTTGATATACCGGAGAGACTTAAATTAAATCAAGCTTTTCAGATACAATATAGCCTTGATTACTCGTGGCATCACTCCTCCATCTATTAGTGAAATATCACAAAAATCATTTCAGCAATTTAGAATATTAGTTTTATTGATTGACATATTGGATAAACATGCCATGCACACGCAAACAACTCTCAATAACAATAACCCGTCTGTAAAACCCGTCTGTCAAACATGAAAACTACGAGTAAAACCCTAATGCCCTTATGCATAAATGGTGTACTAGCGCAAACGCCTAATATGATAACAGTAATTTTATGGTATTCAACATTAATATACATGCATAATAAACATGACAGTTAGCTGAAGCCTATTGTAACTTTTTTAAATTAAACATTTTATCTATACATTCGTCATCGCTCACTAGCACAGAGCAACACGGGCCACCGGCGGACCGGAGGGGGAGTAGCCAAAGCATTTTATCCGATACAGAACTAAGTGTTATTTTTTTGCTAGGGGTATTCTGCGCACACAAAATCAATTCTCTATCACTACGAAACTCACGTTATAACAAATAACTACCAATTTCTCACACACAAATAGATATAACAGTATCGATTGGTGACAGCGTCAACTCAAATCACTCACTCGACTAATGTGAATATTCTATGAGGGCGAGTGGCCTAAATTGGTTAACTACACATTACCCAGGTTTAGCTGGAGCGGGTCTCTAACAAATATAATTGTAAATTAAAAAGAGCAATTTAAATTGATTCTGTGTTGATACACAGATTCAATTTAAATTGTTCTTTTATAATACTTTTATAATACTATTACAATACAAATTGCTTCTGATAATTTAATCAATTAAAATAATATACTCTGAAAAATGGTAATTGTAATTAAAGTAAAATTAATTAAAAATTATAGCTTCAATTCAACATGTGAAGAAACAAATTAGCACGATAGCCATTTGTAACTAAGAAAATACAGTAACAATGAATGAAATAGTAGTATAAGAGTAACAATGAATGAAATAAACAGATCTCTAATGCTTCGAGTCTCTTACGTAAATTGGATCTGTAAAAGATTATTTTTATTGTATTAGCCATCTTATCCACGTGTAAGAAACAAAATTGATTCCGTTTCGCAATAAAACGATAATTCACAACAGGACTAACTTGATGATTTAATATACAGATTGTTAGAACTTCAACAAACTTGAACTTGATGAGATGATAATATACTCGGAATATACAAAAAATACAGCATGTTATACAAAATTTCATGTTTTAGTATTGATTGTATTTTATATAAAACCGATATTAAAATATGATGTGGGGAGTATTAAAGTAGCGATCGAGTGGAACCAGGGCTTCAAAGTCTTTGCCAGAGATCTGTTTGCCAGCCAACTGTCGAACCTGAAAACCGAGTGTGGCACCATCGCAACTATCGCGAGCAACCCGCGTTCGATCCCCGCCAGCACAAATGAAATTGTTAACTGTGATTTTAAGTGTTGATTTACCACGTGCTTGACGGTGAAGGAATACATCGTGAGGAAACCTGCATGTCTGATTCAATGAAAAAAAAATATTTTAAAGACATGTTAAGTTCGCGAACACGCTTTGCGGTAACGTGGCAGACAATTCCTTGCACTGAAACCCCCTCAGAAATGAGAGGATGCCTGTGCATAGCAGTGGGAAATATAAAGGCTGTAACTATAGCTTTATCTTTTGTAAAGTATTAGAACTTAAGTCGTATTAAAAATATTTTTTATAGAATCAGGTGAAGGCTAAATAAGCGGGCGCACAGTACACCTGCCGATAAATGAATTCTGTGGCCCATATACATCTATATCTACCTGCAATCAAGGATAAAATTGCAGACGTTTGTCACCCCTGAGAACTAAGCTGGTGTCCTCCCTACCAGTAAAATTGGTATCCGATTTTCTTCATTCACCATACAAAACACAACATTATCCCGCTGTTTCACGCTGGTGGTTTGCGAGCCGACCCACCCATTCGTGCCACAGATAAAATGTAGCTGCACCGTGGCTCTATCATGATAATAATGTTTATCAATAAACATTATTATTATGAGGGGTATCTATATAGTTTTCTCATCTGGTTGGGATGTATAAATATATAATTATAAATGAAAATGAAAAGATAAATATACATAAATATCAATAAAATAAAATAAATACAAAAATACATAAATAAATAAAAGCCCAACCAGATGGAAGCCCTCGGCAGGTGAGACCAAACGGCCAAGGGTTAGGGGGAAAGGGAAAGAAACCGGCGGACGATGCGGGCAGTATCAAGGAGCACCGCCTTCTGCATTTGAGCCCGGAGCGGTCCGTCACGGAGTCCCAGTCGCCTCAGATGATCAGAGAGGCTAACTGGGATTAGCCCATTCGCAGAGACGACTACAGGAATAATTTCGGTCGGCATACCACCCCACATGTCGGTCACCTCGTGAGCCAGGTCCAGATACTTTGATTGCTTATCTGTTTCGGCTTTCACGAGGTTCTCGTCATACGGGATGGTAATATCGACCAAAAATATCCTTGACTGTGCCCGGTCCATCAGCACAATATCAGGCTTATTCGCAAGAATAGTCCTGTCTGTGATGATGGCCCGGTCCCAGTAGAGCCTGGCGCGGTCATTTTCGAGCACGGCTTCCGGCAAGTACTTGTAATACGGCAATTTCCGGTCCACGAGACCGTATTTCAGAGCGAGCTCCTGGTGTAGAATTCTGGCTACTAGGTTGTGCCTGTGCAAGTACTCAGAGTTAGAAAGCGCCGAACAACCGGAGATGACATGCCTAAGTGACTCACCGGGATGGCGACAAGCTCGACAGACGTCGACGGTGCCATCCTTTAGGATGTATCTCCGATAGTTGTTGGTCTTAATAACCTGATCCTGTATTGCACAGACAAAACCCTCGGTTTCCCCCGAAGAGGTCACCGAAACGCAGCCAGTTGAGGGAGGCGACTGTATCTACGAAGGGCTCATGTAGAGCCCTGTAGTACCTTCCGTGGAGCTCTTTCTCCTTCCGTACGGTCTCCCGGTCGGAAATGCTAAGCACTGCTGGGTCCTGCCATTGCTCGTTGGCTAAGGATAGAGGGGTAAGCCCTTTATCACTAGAAATGACGTCATTATAGAATGGATCATCCGATCTCGCCAGGAAGTAATGACGGAGGCTGCACACTTCACGATTATGCATGGTGAGCGCGCTCAGAAAGCCACGCCCACCATGCTTTCGCGGCAAGTACAGCCTCATTACCGACGATCTCGGATGATGCATCCTATGGGACGTCATGGTAGTGCGGACTTTTCTATCCAGGGCGTTAAGTTCAGTCTGACTCCACCTGAGTATGCCTAAGGTATACATAAGGACAGGTATGACCCAACCGTTATATGCGTGTGTCTTATTCACACCGGACAAAAGGCTATTAAGCACTTTGGTCAAGCGTGCATAAAACACTTCGCATACTGACTGTTTCATACCAGCCTCATCGATACCGATGTTCTGTGACATACCCAGGTATCGGTATGTTTCAGCCTCGGAAAGGGTCCTTAAGTTGACGGGCATAGATAAATCTATGCCCTCAGAGTTAGCAACCCTTCCCCTTTCAACATGGAGGACCGCACACTTATCCGTCCCCAGCCCCATTCCAATGGAATTGCTAAATTCACAAGTGATGTTTAGCAATTCCATAAGATGGGAGCGACTGGAGGCGAATAATTTGAGGTCATCCATATAGAAAAGGTGGGTCACTTTTGCCCCTCCTTTCCGTAGCTGAAATCCTCTCCCGGATCCCTCCAGTAAGGTACTGAGAGGGTTCAGGGAGAGGCAGAACCAGATTGGACTCAGACAATCGCCCTGGAAGATACCCCTTCTTATCCTTATGTGGTTCTCCGCAGCCATCATCCGCTCACCCAGATGACAAAGGATCGTATTCCACTGCCCCATACACTGCTCGAGGAAGTCTCTCACTGTACAGTCTATCTTGTACAGCTCGAGGACTCTCTTTAGCCGGAGAAGTTCCGACGGTTGCGTTTCACCACTTTGCCAATGACCGCGTCAATGAGGAGTGGTTCCTTGGTTCCACGACCACCGCCCCGACATCCATTTTGAGCGCGTGACATCACCTGATTTAGCTCCAGGTGACGAGTGATTCTCGCGCTCAAAATGGATGTCAGTGTCTTATATATGGTGGGTAGACACGTAATGGGGCGGTATTTGCTCGGGTCTGTGGTAACCTGGTCTTTAGGAACCAAATGAGTGATCCCAGTAGTGAAGAGGCTAGGGAGCGACTTCTGGTTGAGAGCCTCTTGAAACTGACGGGCGAGCACAGCGTGACACACCATGAACCCCTTCAGCCAGTAGTGATGCAGTCCGTCGAGTCCCGGACTTTTCCATTTCGGGGCTCTACGGACCGCCTCAGCTACGTCATCCGGCGTTATGATGACGGGGTCCATGGGCGTAATACTCGCACACTGACTCGCCACAACTTCCGTCCAAGAGCCCTCGCTGTGGTTTACGGGCTCTGACCACAGGCCACGCCAAAATGCGACAGTGTTAGCCTGATCCGGTCCTGGGCCCGCTCCACATACCTCTGGTCGCTCCAATGATTTGTAGAGCCTCTTCTGATCACTCTGGAAGAGACGATTCTGGCTTCCCCCAAGCAGCAATCTTTTGCTTCAGGTCGTCTATGCGCTCCGTTAGTTTCTGCGTGATATCCGGCTGGGACAAACTGATTTTTGTCCCAGCAAACGCCATTCTAACGGAGCGCACAACCCTCGGTCTATTATTACCCGACCTGAAGCTTATCAGTCTGCCGATAAGGGCCCTTGCCTTTGCGATACGGTCCTCAATTCTTTTTCTCCAGGCTGGGATGGCGCTACTTTGTTTAGTAGCGCGTCCAGCCAGGGGAAGTTTGGCGCCAATAATACGGCAAGCTGCCACTGCGGCGCCAAACAGAACTGAGTCCGTCTCGCAAAGGTCCCGGCTGGCTTCCAAATAGGTTACCAGCATAGGGTTAAGAGCCCTCACGACAGCCCGATTTCGCTTGCTTAGGGGTATGCGGGGAAGTCGCGGTCGATTTTCGGGAGGCATGGTGCGCGTTTCCAAAATCTCCTCTTCCAGTATACTCCTCATTTGCTCTAGTTCGTGGGAGACCATTTCATCATCGTCGGAATCAACCACAACTGGAAGATCCATGGCAGCTTCTACGCGTGGCAGCTGGTCTGTCGCCTAAGGAGCCGCATCCCCAGCCGTAGCCAATTCATTCGATGAGGGAATGGCCTCACGCCGTAGTCGTTCGAGCTCGGCATCATCAAATATTTTCGAGCGCATGATGTACCGAACTCGGTCTGCCAGGTTTTGTTCCGTGACGGGAATAGACGGCTCCAGCTCAGCAAAAAAAGCAATGCATCCGAGCCCGATACGCTATCCCCTTAGTTTCTTCCCCTTTCGCCCGCAATGCGTTTGCGTTCATATCTCTTGTCCAATGCATGCGGCGCACTCCACCAGCGGCGGATGCCGCTTGCCGAGTCCGAGAGGACCCTGCCGACATTAAGCCGTCTGGTGGGGATGATGGATGCGGGGGGCTGCTAGGTGATCTTGCAGCTCCTCGCGCTCGGCTGGCGGCCCGCATGCTGCCGCGGTCCAGCGCCAGCTCCAGACGCGCCCCGGCGACCCCCAGGCAGCGGCCCTATACGCTTTCTAATCATATCCATCATCCATTTTTGGGCGCCAATTAACGGGAGACACCCAGGCCCGGCACCGTTTCATTGTATCATTGTACGGCCGTAAGCACAAGCGGACCTTTGCACCCTGAGTACTGCCGAGGCACGGCGCTCACACCTCTTGGCAAGGCGCTGACTGACTGCACCGACGTAGCAGTTTTGTCACTTAACTGTTTCGTCAGCGGGCGATGGGGTCGTCACTTCCCTACGCCTATTTATTATATTATTTATTATTATTATAATGTTTGTCATTTTCTTTACTTCCGTGCAGATTTTACGTAGTAGAGCCATGCTGCAATTATAATAATAGTATAGTTGTAGCACGAATGGGTCGGCTCGACCGGGGAGGAACCACGCTCTCACAGAATACCAGCGTCAAATAGTAGCTTAATGCTGCTGTGTTTCGTATGGTGATTGTAGAGAACCAGAGACCCTTTTTACTGGAAACGAGGCATTCCACCTGTCCTCACGGGTGCATTTATTTTGTAATCGAGGACAGATGTAGATGTCTCTGGGACACAGCAACCACTTACCATCAGGTGGACTGTGTGCTCGTTTGTCACCCTAATTTATAAAAAAAAGATTAAAGCATGGAAAACTATTGTTTTAAACAATTTTATTTAGTAAATGATTTCTTTGTAAGCATCAGGCGGGAATCTGATCTCAGCTGTGGAGCACCGTCCATGTAATTTTCGTGTTATAATAATTTATCAAGAAGGTTTTTATATATAAAATTATCTTGAAGTGGACGGGGAAGATTTGAATATTAAGGTAAAGGCAGATCGGTCATCAACTGTTCTTATTTAGAAAAATGTTTGAGCAATCAAAAACCTTACTCTATTGAAGAAAACCGAATTAAATTATAATGTACTGCTTTTGCTGGAATTGGGTATTAAGTAGTAGCAAAGGAAACTCTCATTCACAAGCAACTTTCTTCCGTAAGATTAACAACGTTACTGATGAGTAGAAGAACACTCGGGTAAATTGGTGCTAATTAAAAAACGCCCGAGTGCCACAACCCTCGACATTTTAAAATACGCCTATACATACGCATACGCATACGCACATGCAAATAGAGAAGCACACGCAAACGTCCGCACGCACGTTGCAGCACTAGAAGTGTTGAAATCATACATTTGTTCATAAAAACATAAATAAATAAATGACATACTATGAACGTCGCCGCACACTGCAAACAGACTCCCAAAGCAACAGAATAATATATACGTGTAATTTATACATATTATGACCTTCCTTCTATTGCGTTCAGTTCAAAAAAATATTCTCTTGGACAGGAAAATTCATTTTATCAATTACAGCGATGGCATCCGCTCATAAGGTACTTGTAATTAGGATCGTTATTATTATCGCTCTCGAGAGATTCCCAGCGATGCACAAGCGAGATAAACTGATTATGACTGCCGCAAAAACATAATATTACCTTGATTGTATTCAGAAATAATTTCATATGAATTATGATCAGTTCAAATAAATTTATCGAAAATAAACTATCATATTGTTTCATAAAGAAATATTTCTATTTAACTATACAGTCTTCCACAATATTTATTTCTACAAAATATGTTGAATTATTTATTTAGCTTGAGTAGAAATAAGATTCACGTGGTAGAACCAGACTTCAGTGGAGAACCACGCTCCCGCCAAATATTAATGTAAAATATACAGCTATGTATTTCGCACGTGACGAGAACCGGTGAAAACTTTTACTGATAACGGGGCATTCTATTTAAACCATGAATAGTAATAACGTATTTGTTTTTTGGGATATATGAAGATGGCTATGAGCCACATCATCCAAACATCAGGTGCACTTCTACAGAGTGCTTGTTTTTCGACGCTAATTGTATAAAAAATTAGTTTATATCAGTTTATTGTAGCTGAACTACAAGGTTTTGACAAGGCAAGTTTGTGACTATGTGAAGTCGCGGTGTATGAATATTCACTACCCCATATCATCCCGTGGGTGATGTAAGAGGTGACAGAGGGATCAGGAGATGGGTAACAGCTCTCTCCAGTCAACAATAGTGTGTTTTTTTATATAAACATATAACGGATACATGATAGAAGGCTTCGATCAACAATACCAACTAGATGTCGGGTCAGCGCAAGAAACCCTCCTGAGAGAGTTTTTAAGGAAAGCAAATGTCCGCCGAACTGCTACAATGCGTGTAGGCGAACTTCACATGTCTTCGAAATATTTTTTTTCTTATTTCTCAGACATACAGGTTTCCTCACGATATTTTTCTTCACTGCCAAACACGTGGTAAATCAAGTCTTAAAATAATAACCAACAATTTCATTGGTGCAGGAGGGGATCGAACCCGGGCTGCTTGCGTACTGTGAAATCTACAATGAGCGCTTAGCCCCTGAGCCGTGTTGAAACGAAAAGATAATTAGTATTTGATAATGCTTTGAATTTGAACCCTAAGCTCATAACAATAATAATTTTCTTGATACTGATAATAGCTCATCAGAATTAAGTTTTTTCTGAATGCGAACATGATAATATAATATATTATGTTATTACTGCAGTCATTAATCAGTTAACATTGCTTGTACATCGCTGGGAATCCCCCGAGAGCGATAATAATAACGATGCTAATTACCATATGAGCAGATACTATCGCTCTAAGCGCTTAAGTGCATTTACCTGCCCAGTAGAGTACCAATATCCAAAATTAATTTAAACTAAGTGTCCCAGTAGGAAGGTCATGTGTGTAAAAATGTACTGCATAGCTTCAGTTGCCATTTATTTATTTAAGCTTTTATCAACTACTTTGTTCATAAAATCTTAAATTACCGTACGACCATTAGTCCACCATACATTTTATGGTAAAAATAAATATTTGGGTGTAAAATATTCATATTAAAACATTAATTGTTCTTCGGTGTGTTACAGGGGCGTCAAGTCTCCCTGCGGTCAACGACACATACATTCCACGTATTATTCCTCCGCAAGACGCGCTTGATTGCCGCTGCACATTGGCTGCAACCTGTGTTAGTTTTATATGTAAAGATAGATATGTGGTTTTTCATTACTCTATATGTCGACGCCGAGGAAATTGAGAAGAAACGACAAAGGGGTTCTTTTTGGCGGTAAACGCGCAAACTGTGTAGTCTTGGGTCAACTGGACTTGATTTAATCGTCCTCAATCCTAGACTTTGTTCAATAAAGATTCATTTTCAGACACAAGTTTGTTCCAGTACTCCGCTCAGCTGTGAGTCAGGTAGATTAAAAGTTTTATCTGGAGGTAACCGTAGTTAACAATTAAATTTTGACGTTGAACACCTCGGTCCCCCCGTGATCATGGGAGCTGTAAAGTGCTCGAAACGTCGCGAATATAAAAATGAGTTAATATACGTGATAAAATTCGTAAAAACTAGTTTTATTTAAATGTAAGAAAGTGTGGTATTCGCGTAAATATAAGAAATAATTACAGAAGATCACGAGCTGAGCGACTCTGTCGGAAACCGTACTGGCAGTCACTAATCAATCTTTAAATACCTCTCGAGCTGGCTAGTTAATAATGGTTTTCATTATTTTGAAGAATAAGGAGGTGATAACAATAGGCCTGTAGTTAGACGGGTCTGAACGGTCGCTTTTTTAGGGATCTGGTAGACCAAAGCTGTCTTCCATGAGTTTAAAATTGTGCCTAAGAAGTAAGAGTATCGGAAAAGATGCGTTAGAATCAGTGCAAACTCGGGACCATACTTCTTCAGTACAGTTGGAGGGACTCCATCAAGGTCACTCAACTTTTTGACGTCCAAGGAGAGTGCTTTGCGCACTGAGCGCTGAGTGGACCGCATATCTAGCATGAAGAATCCACGCCGCGGTATGGTCAGCGGTATGTTCCTCCGTCACCCAGTTGGACGTAAAAAAAGAGAGCCTTACAGATTGGTTTTCCTTTTTGATGCCTGGCCAGTATATTCACCTCCCTGTGCCGAGATGGAAGTTACCCTGTACAATTAAAGCTATTAGTTATTATAAAGCTATTAGTTATTATATAATAAAAACAAGTACTTTTTAAAAACAAAATTAATCGAAATAAAACAATAAAATGGAGGATATAAAATATTTACGTCTTATATATTTAAGTTGTAGCACGAATGGGTTGGCTCACCTGGGGCATCACATAATACCAGTTTAAAATAGCAGCGTAATGTTGTGTTTCGTATAGTGAGTGAAAATAACCGGATACCCTTTTTACTGGAATCGAGACATTCCACCTTAGTCCTCAGGGGTGACAACACATCTGCGTTTTGATCCTTAGTCGATGATAAATGTGGATGTTATGGGCGACAGCATCCACTTACCATCATGTGAACTGTGTGCTCGCTTGTCACCCAATGCTATAAAAAATAACACAGAATTGATGCGCAAATGGCAAGACTTACCTACTCGTAATTCTTCAATAGGTCTTAGGTCTTAGGGAGGGAGGAGGGAGTCTTAGG